ATATATATATATTATATATATATATATATATATATATATATATATATATATCGCTATTTTGTGAGGTCGATTGGATCTCAAAATATTTTTTTATTGAGATACACTAATTCTTTTATAAAGAATTTAGAAAAAATACATAGAAGAAATTTATCGTGATGCGTCACATCCTCACACGACAATGGTAATATTATGATTTGGAATAGCATGGCAGTCTGGGAATTGGCTTTTATTAAACAATACGATGAATAAATTTCAATATCTTGATATTTTAAAAACAAATTTAACTACAAGTGTTACAAATATTAATTAATTTATTAAATAAATAAATGGAATAATATAAAGGAATAATCAAATTATATCAATAAAATGTCAATATCAATAGTTGAAAATTAATAGTATATATTTTAGAAAAATGATTATTAATTATTCGAGATAAAAAATTAAAAGAAAAAATGATCCAATTAATACTTGAAAATCATAAAATCCTGTGTGCTATGAAAAAAATTGAACCATAAATTCTATTATTAAATAAAACAGAAATAAAAATTTAAATATTAAATTAATTGTAAAATAAGTTTCTAAAATAATAGTTAAAATTAAATTTTTTTCTTAAATTTAAATTATTGTTAATTAGACACTAATGTAAGTAACTATAAATCCTGAGCAATATCGAGATTTTAAACATATAGAAAAGATTGTTAAGAATTTGTTGCTATAAAATAAACTGAATTCTCCACAATTTCCAGATTTTAATGTAATAGAGAATTTGTGAGAAATATTAGATTTAAAATTATGCAAAATAAAAATTACGAACAACGAAAAATTTTAAAATCGAATTACTAAAAATATGAATAAATATTTCTTTTTCAACAACATATAAGTTGATTAAATGCCAATATGATTAGCTGCGATAATTAAAGTTAAGTGAACCAACAAAATATTAAATGTACGTAATTTTATTAATAAATGAAAATAAATCATTCTTAATTAATTATATATATTCACTTTTGATTTATATTTTTACAGATTTCCAGATTAATAAATAAATAAATGTATAAAGATATAATCAAATTACATCAATAATTATTTATTAGATTGAATTATGTTTTTTACTTTTAATTCTATAATTTGTTTTTCAAATAATTTTTCAATAATGTAATATACATGTAATAATTGTTAAATAAATCCCGTGTTCTCAAGATGTATATTCATGATATGATAATAAAAAAGAAAACTAGCGTATATGATGGAGAAGAGAGAGAAAAAGGAAGAGCGAGAAAAGGAAAACAGGAGTGGATGCATGCTGGAGAGCACTCTGATATGTGACTACATTTTGTATTTTTTATATTTTTGAATCTATTCGATATTAAATTTTAATATTTTATGCCAAAGAAGAAAGGAATTACTAATCCTGCTATGTCTCAATCTCTGCTATACATCTCTGCTATACATGCACGCACGCCGCACGCATGGACACACACACACACATATATATATATATTTTTTAAATACCAGTGAAATTAAAATCTGAAATAAAATTAAATCTGATATTGGGAACAAATACTACAAAATTGGCATCAATGATAGAAACAAATTATAATATAAAAAAAAAAAAATAATGGAACAGTACAAAATATAATTAAAGGATACAACAAATGGCCAAAATAGATGAAAAGATAAATTAACAAAAGAAGGTGATTAGAATTTGCAAATTTATACTATTTCATAAATAGATATATTAATAAAAATGAAAAATTTTGAAATAGCATAATATTTAAATGAATGTAAATTTATTATTTTTAATTCTAATAGAAAGAAATGGATTCTGGAATATAAATGGATTCTAAACATTAATATTCAAATTTAAACACAGAAACGGCGGTGTAATAGTGTGGATTTTCTCTATTTCAGCCCATAAATTTTCGATGGAATTTATATCTGCGGTGGAGTATTTAACATATGGTATATATTAATTATATATACAATCCATTTTTTCATGATTCACACTGTATGTTCAGATAGTTAAAAGTAGTTGAAAGTAGAAGTCTTCCAACAATCCCAATTTATAACTTTGAGATTATAAAAATGCTCTCATTTAGTATCAGTATTTACATTTCTGGCTAAAATGTATGAAAATTATCAATAATGTATGAGTATTCGAATACTTTTGTATTATGTGCGTATTTATAATAAATGTATTATAATTACTCCTTAAATTGGTGAATCATTTTCAATTTTTACTGACATAATCTTGAGATTTTATACATCTCTCATTGTCTTAAACAAATTTCTTGGACATGTATATTTCATTCATAAAAAATTGCAAATATAATAAAACTTTTGTTACTGTATATATACTTTTTAATGGATAAAAAAATATTTGTTATATTTAATACACTTGTAATAATAAATATATAGTATATATTTTATAAAAAAAAAATTCAATATTTATAACGCGAAATTATTATCTGTTATCAACGAGTCGTATTTTCAAGAGCTTCGTCGGTTTCATTGTTTATATCGACTGTTTACATTGAAGCTGATACTACTAATAAATTACTAAACTATCCAGTTGTTAACTAGAGATGGTATATTTAATGGGTATAGAAAAAAAATCGAGAAAGATGATTTTGATAATCGTCGAAACTGTAGAATATTTCGAATGAGCCAAAACATGCTATCTTTCATTTCTCCAAATAGAACGAGTTAAAAACAGATTTTTCTAACAGAGTGAAATCAACATCGAAAGTTTTTATTGAATTGTTGAATCAATTGAAAGACAAATGGATTTGAGAAGTTTCGCTCGCGTTGCTCGACGCATCACGAAATCAAAGAAAGGAAGATTGAACGAGGAAGAAGCATTTCCACAATTAATAATGGATATCAGTGACAATCTTCGACGCAATCTTAAAGATTTTACTCTCATTCATTAAGTAACGCGATCATAAAAATAATCACCAAGAAGAAAGTGAGAAGCAAGTATGTCTTATGGCATTTTTAAACATGAGTTCCATTAATATGGAGGTAACAGAATTTTTCCTTCTCACGAAGAAAAAGATTTTTATATAATTTTTTAAGATTCTTGTTTTATTTTTATCATTTGTGATAATTTAGTAGAAAATTTCATCTTGTGTTATTAGATCTATTCAATTCTTAATCTGGAATATTTTATATGATTTTCATAGATTAGAGCTTGATGTGGCCTTAATGATACAAATAGTTAGAAGTAAAAATCAGTTTGTTTATCTTGATAAGATAAAAAGAAATCCAGATTGCTTTCCAACAATATCTTTTTTTATTTTTTGTTTCTTTTTTGCTTTGTTTTTATAATGAAACAGTTACTGTCGTTTCATAACTTCATTAGGTTTGTAGTTTTGTTTCAAATTATTTTTTCTTTATTTTTATTATAACAATCAAACAAGAAGTGATAATGTTATAATAAGCGACAAAGCGAGTAATGAAAATAAAATTATTCAAGTGAAAAGAAAACGAAAAAACAAGATGAGCAATAGTAAAAATGAAAGAGATTGAAATAAATACAACAAATAAGTACATGATTTTTTCAAACTTAATAATAAATAATAAATTTATTTAATAAGAGGAAAAATATATAAATACTGAAATTTATGTCTGTTTTAGATAATGCCTAATGGGGAGAGTTTTTTGGAAAATAAAAATCCTTTCTATTTGTACATATCACCTTCTTTCGATTTTTGGTAACGAAAGATGATAATGCATGCATTCTAATTATTTTATTCATTAATAACAAAATTATAGATTTATTTGTAGTAGAAACAAACAGATATGTGCAACAAAAATTAAATCTGAATTAAATCACGCATCTGCGTGAATGCAAATTAATTCCGACAAAATAAAATAATTTTTGAGATTAATTTTGTGGATGGATCTTGTAAGACTAAATGCTTTAGCGAATTATTGGTCAAGAAATTGATTGTATAATTTTGATTTTGATTTACCTGGAAATCGAATTACATAGTAGCAACTATGTCGAAACAGATTCGAATTAAATTTTTTACAAATTTTTATTTTATTGATAACTCTATTATTATTGAAAGTGATCGTCTTGGAAAAATATTTCCAACAAAAAAATATCAAGAAAAAATATTCACATCAGGAAAAAACATTATTGAAATAATAATTCCGTGGCGTGAAAGATTCGTATTCAAGCAATACGTACTAAATGAAGGCCACAAATACAGTATAAAATTATTCGAATTCTTTTGAATCATATACATGATCGATGAGAATTTATTATGGAAAATCAGTTAATGGAATAATATATGCTTTTCAAGATCGAACACTGTATATCGATAATTTCTATGAATTAGCTATTTCATGTCTAAAACAGGAGAATCGCATAGTTGGAACAGTAAGGAACAAAAAAAGTTCATCCCGAAAGAGTAGGTTAAAAAAGGAGAGATGATATCTAAAGAAGATGAAAATAGTATCCTTGTATCCAAGTGAAGAGTTTCTAAAGACGTGAGAATTTTGTCAACATACTCCATCATGATACCAAGTACAAAAAATATAAACATCAATGCAGATTAACCGACAATCATGCGGAAAATTAAAATCTATAACAATTCTTGATTATAATACAGTGTTAAAGATAAATCCAAGATTCATGTGGTCAAATAGACTGAATTCTATTTTCAACAGCTTGAGTATTTTTAATAGTCTAACAATATTTTACAAGTAGGTATCCTTCCATATTCTTAATCAAAATACAGATATACAACAATGGCTGCTTAATAAGTCACGCTTGCGCACCTGCTGTCTTGCGATGGATCACCATGAAAGCAGTCGCAAGTAAGGTGCGACTACGACGCCTATTCTTCAAAATCGCCCTTCAACGCGAATATTCGTTCCTTTAACCTTCTCTTAGTTTGAATTTTCATGAAAAATAATGATTGGAGGAAAAACCAAGATCCGCCACAGTCTTCAGATCAGATCAGTTAGAGTCAATAAAATCAATCGTCAATAATTAAACTAAACCATCAAAATTCAAGCTCATAATATAAACGATTATACAGTCTTACAACAGTAAGTGGTCCTTTGAATAATATTTATCATTCAATTTTGGATTTTAACAAGAAGGACTTTTAAACTTTGGAAAAAAGTAATTTTTTTCAATTTTTTTCTAGAATGGAAAACTGCATCTTGTATCAAATGACTATTGAAGGCAAAATTATAACTCGATTGGAATTTTTAAATGATACAATTCAATCGATAACGAAAGAATGGATAGAAGGAGAACCAACAAGATTGTTGGGTGAAATGCAACAGGTATAAGAAAACTTCCTGGAAAAAGTTTATATTTATGAAAAGATCAGGTACAATTTGTAATTTCTGTAACAAAGGATTACACGGTATATGGATTACTAACCATCGATGCTGAATAAATTATTTATGTGAATAACAATAAGTAAATATTAAACATTTCTAATAACTTTTCGGATAACTATAAATGTTTATAATAATATTTGAATTGTATTTCAGTGATGTTGTACTGGCTACACGAATTACTTGTTTTATAGCAAGTAATCTTCCTAACGTTTGCTGCACATCATGGGATTGTCATTTAGTTTTGTATTTCATTATTAAAAATACATATAATTAATATGTATTAATATTACATATAATTAAAATGTATTTATGTATTATATTTATATAATATAGTATTATAATATAGTATTTACGTTTAATATTACGTGTTTTATGTCAAATTATAACCAAACGATAATTTTTATTTGCAAATATTGTTTATAAAAGAAATTTTCTATTTTTCCTAACGATTTTGAATAAATATTATTAATATATAAATGATTTTCAAATATTGAAATATAATTAGCATTAATTTATTCTCCCTTTATAATCGCAATATGAATTCCTTTTTGAATTTTGTAAATATCACTATTACTTTTTTTTTTATGATTTTTTTTTGTCAAGTTTTACCAAATTATATCAAATTGGTATTTTGCTTATACACAATCAAGCTATATTCTTCGCTTAATACAATTATTTCGGTACTAAAAGAATTAAGTAAAATATTAATAATCTAATATATTTCATATTCAACTATTAAAATTAAATGTGAAAAAAATGTCATAGTTAACGCAATATGCGAATAAAGCATGCTTTGCATAGAAGAAATATTAAAGAAACCAATATTGCATTAGCAATTATCAGTATACAAATAAATGCATCCAATTAAAAAAAAAATTAATTTTATACATATGAATCAATCTATTGTTATAAACATGCTTTGATGATGTCTGAACAATACAGTGTGGAAAAATTTAAAAAAAAATATCCCAATCGAGATATCTACGAATCTACATTTCGAAAAAATATTGATGAAAATTATGAATATTTATATTCTGGATATTCACAGACGAAACAATAGATTTGCAAATCTGATTGTGAGAATGCTATGTAAAAATGAAATATCAATATCCTACTTGCTGGTTTGTAAACAACTGTAAATCATACAACCACGATTTATAAATTACTCGACTTATATATTCAGAATAAAGTTATGGTCATCTAAAAGTGAAAACAGAGTGTTACTGCTTGTAACAGACATATATGTTAAAAGATGGTAAGAATTTAAAAATATTTTATTTATATATACTTACCTCTTATAACTTGTTTGATGGATTAAATAGAGAAGTTCGAATACATTTTTCTTTAATCAACAACCTGATGTCTTTGATTAAAAAAATTTTTTTTGTTTCCTCCGTGTATAGCGTTATCGAAAGAGACTAGAAAATATTCCATTAACACCTGAACAATCATAACAACATATTATAACAAGATGAGAGATATGGTTAGAAGTAATATTATTTTATGCCACACGTTTCGATTATGTCAAAGAGGTAAATGAAAGTTTCAAGATGCAATATCGATTAACATATAACATAAAAAGTATTACGAAAAACAGATTATGCTAGATTTAACGAGCGTATTTCGGAATATTATCATTCATTATAATAGTTGTTCCTAATTAAATTTGTGGAATTAATTAATCAAACTATTGAGAATTTAAAAACTGGTGACTGTGGAAGAAAAATTTCTAAAAAAATACAAACAGTTCTAGAGACAAATCCAAATTTTAATGCTATATCAAAAATTGCAGACATGTTGAAAGACTAAAAAAGCTTGAAAAACAAATTGAAATATGACCTAATTACCTCTTGCGATGTAGAACAATCTTTTTTGGATATACAAATTAATATTAATTGATAAGTATCATCAATTTACAATCGATAACTTAGAGAAAGCTGTGGTAATTCATTGTAATTAGAATTAACAAATAAAAATAACAATATAAATCACCATGTTTCGTGCATATCCTGCAAATTTCCTATATATTTATTTACATATTTTTTGAATATTTGTTATTTTGACTTATATTTTATTTTCATAAACATTCGCAGTCTATTACCATAATTGAAATCAAAATTAACATAAAGAAGAAAATTAATCAAAATTAATCATTTCAATTCGTACGTATTTAGATAAAACAGCTCATCAAAAAGTATGAATAATACGATAAGAATCCAGTTTTATATAATTCGCGAAAATAAGCCAACAAAATGATTATGCCATTCAATAAAATCATTTTTAAATGCTACAGATTACAAAATCATGTAATCATGTAATCATTCTTGGGACTTTTCTATTTACAGAAGAATATAGACCATGTGGTCAAAATCCATGTGCAATTGTGAAAAAATTTAATTAACTTATATAATGATTAGAAATATTATTATTTATCTACATAAATAAATGCAATATATTTGCAATTTTTAAAATTATATCATGAATGTTATTCATGTATATTTTATATTTTTATACAACATATTATATATGCTCCACATTATCAGTCATAAAGATTTTTTTCACATATGGCCTCTTCGTTTTTTTCAATTATAATAACGTTGGATTTTTTCCCTTCAAGCAGTAAAAATTGAACGGGAAATTTTTATATGCTATGAAAATTTTGGAATCATTAGATTAATTTTTTTAATTGAAAATATTTTACAAAATTAATATTTTTTAATATACTTACTTAGTTTCATTTAATAGTTTCTATTTTTTACGAATCCAAAATATCGGTCCATTTTCATCGAATCATTCTTAGTAAATGTATTTGTTATATATGATTATCATTGTCGTCGTGACAATTTTGCAATCACTATGTTGCATCGAATTTTATCTTTTACATTCCACATTAATGCAATCAAATGCATATTGAATTTGGTATTTTAATTATTCCATGTGAATTCTACTAATAAACAATATTTTTCATTGCATCCTAAAAAAGAAATCACGTTAAATGATTACACATTTAAGAAGAGCAAGTTCTATCAATCATGTTTTAAACATTTCATTTATAAATTGCTATATTGATTGAAGTGTAATGATGTATTATTGTGCATAAAATAGATAGAATAACGTTTGTGATATAACTATAATTTATAAAAAAAAATAAGCGCACCATCGCATATGGATTTTTATAACATCAGAACACTTTCTGTGTGTCGAGTATACTAGAAAAAATATTTGAAAAAGTATTCTCATCCAATAAGTAATACGCTCCAAAAATATCGTCGAATAATATAGTCATTCCATTGAAATACTCAAACATGGCAATTTTAAAAGATTGTTGCCTTCATCTCGAATTAATCACATGTGATTAAAATGATATATATTAAAATTTGAATAATTATATCTCAATAGCATAGAAAGAATTCTTCACCTTGGTTTACAAGTTATTTGCTTCATATTGTGTTTGTAAATATTCCAATTCTTTTATAAATGATGGAATAATTTTGTCTAGGATATATCTTCAAATTTCACTTCTCTTACATGTTTTATAGATATATTTTTTGTGATATCTGATTTGGAAATCTCATTTGAGCATACCATGTTGAAAAAATGCCAATTAGGAAATGAGCAAAAGTTGAAACGAGTTAAAGAAAGCGTCTAGAATTTAATAATGCGTTTCGATAATGCAAATAATATTGTTGCTCGAACATAAACAATTTCTTGCCTGGATCTGGCTTCGCATATATCTATTCAATTCAATAACCGCCGAAATTAAAGAAAAAGATTACGTAATGAAATGTCACGATATTTCCTTGTTTGTGAGAAAATATCCGTATTTTTGCAACATTTGATACAGCTAATCTTATTATTCGCAATCATAAAATTGGTATTATTGATTCAAATATATTCTAATACGAATTTTTGGATTTGATTTAAAACTGCAATGAATAATTTGATAATCATAGTACCGACGACCATTGAAAAACATACATAATTATATACGTTATATAAATTATAAATGGATGCATAATTAGTCATCGAGGCATGTATGTTCAATATTGTTTCTCCTTTATATAAAATCCACAATAATCAATGTTGCAGTTGTAAAGGAAGGCATCTGATGAATAATTTTCAAAATTGTTGTCACGTGATGATATTTCTGGCATTATTAGCAAGATGATATCTTCTGGTTGCATTTTATAAAAAATCGTCACGAAATATGTCTTCTTCAACAATTTGTTATATAAAAACTCTGTTCCATTTTCTAGATCGCGGATTTCTTGATTGGAAATCAAAATCCATTCGTTGTCTGACATAATCAGCCATTAATGATCCTCTTCTTAATGATAATTTTCCTTGAAATGGAGGCAATATACGACAATTCTTCTTCATAACATTGAAAAAAACTGTAAAATAAATTGTTCTTATAATGTTCTTATAAATATTGTTCTGATGAATTCATAAAAAAAAAAAAAATAATTGACGAGACAAATGCATATTTTAATTTTATTTGCTTTGAAAATTAATTTAATTTCTTCAACGAATTTTCTTTTCTGGTATGAACAATTATAAACCGATGCGAAAAATTTATATTTCTTAAAATAATACCAACCTATCTTCGATTCATTAACATGCATTAAAATATAAAATATTATTTATCTATGTTTCAATATATATATATTATTTCTTTTTTGAATTTTATTTGAATTATTTTTAAATACTTTTCCTTCTACGTAACAATATTCGATTTTTCTATTAACATTATAAATACTGTTGCTTTTCTTCCATTTATACTTTTATCTTATACTATACTCTTCAATAATTTGCGAAATTTGTTGGATATTTTCTATTGAAAATATATTTTTTTCCTAAAAGCGATTAATAATTTTAGAGCCATTGGCGTAGATACAATAACGTTTCAATATAGAAATTATAAAAGAGAAATTCGATTTTCTATTTTCCTTTATCTTTTTTATATCCTAGAAATGTTAATTTTTTATCTTTTCTGAATTTAAAATCTTCGAATTCTATTAATTGATTTAATATATATTGTCAATGTAATATGCAAATTGGCATTCTGTTCAATATCAAGAAGAAGTTGATTCTTTCTTGCTTACTTTTTGATCCAAAGTTTCGTAGCCTCGCTACGAATCTTTTGCCCTTCTTTTTTACATATTTTTTAAATACATACCTTTATATTTAACTTAATAATAACTAATAATGAAATAAAACTATGGCAAAAATGATTAAAAAAAAAAATTATTACCATGTTCTAATATTATATATCTTAATATTAATGCTTGAAAAAATCAGAAAAAATAAAAAAGTAAAACAAAAACTAAAATACATAAACAATACAAAACAAATACAATACAAATACAAAAACTAAAATTACTTACTAGGGAATAAATTGTGAAATGATTTGATTAAATTAAAGAATATACAGCAAAAGAATAATAAAGGAAATAGAGATAAACTCTTATATATGTACGTCGTGCCAATGTTTTCGTTCTACTGAGCTGGGCTCACTGTGTCGCGTCTCACGGCGGTTCAAAAAAAAGGACGGACAAAACAGAATCGACACAGCGATCACGTCCAGTGACTTAATTTATGTATAAATACAGTGGCGGTATATTTTGAATATACAATTCTGTATTTGGTCTTCTCCATATATAATTTCGCCATTCCAGTTAAAAATATTAAATTTAAACTCATAAAAAAATATTACACTCTTCTTTTGATTTTGCTTTCTTCTTGCTACTCTACTATGAAAATTATTATTTCGTAAGATTCTTCGACATGATTAGGAATGAACGTCTGTCAAATATTTCTGATATCATTTCTGATACTTGAAAGTGTAAATATAGATATAATAGGATTTTTTCCTCTTTTCAATTAATTTTCTTAATCGACCGAAACGAGTTTTATTCACAATTGTTTTTGATTTTTTTATAATGTAATGTAACGTTTATAGATAATGTAACGTTTAGATTTATTTTTGTTTACAATTTTTGCTATCTTATGATTTGATTATATACGATTTTCCATCCTTATGCAGCCGAAGCATAATTTCTCATTCACACTTTTGTGTTTCAGACAATGTCTAATTCGTTTCAATGTCGAAAAGAAAAATAAAAAAAAATCATGTAGAAGAAGAAACCTGTTACCAGGCTTATACAAATTTGGATAATAGTGATGAGAAAGAGAAATATAAATAGAATTGCATCGTCAGATTCAGATTCGAATATTGTTAAATACAATCATAGCAATCATGAATATAACAAAGATATTATTGAGAAAGGAAAGTTGATTATAACCGATTCAATTTAATGAATAGAATGAATTTGCTTTGTGATATCAATGATATGTTTGCTTTGTTCGTTGACGACGAAATCATAAACTTGCTTAGATATGCACAACAAAAGTTAAATAAATTTAAGATAATTCTATGTTCACGGATGCATAGATGGACATCAACTAATTCTGAAAAAATAAAAAAATTCTTGGGATTGATGTTGTGGATAGGATTTGTAAAAGTAAATTCTGTAGCTAATTATTGGTCGAAAGGTATAATTTTCAATTAACGTGTATCATTTCGACAAACTGCAAAGAAAATATAAAAAAAGCAATAAATACTTTTTTAAAATCAAATTATCAAATTATTTAAATTATGCTCAAGCGAAGGATATATATGGATAATGAAAATTTATTTTAATAGGTCAATTGACTAGTTATTAGAGAAACAGGATAGATACATAATATATATCTACAGATTGCAAAGAAATTTTTCTACCAAGGATGAACATTATATATTGATAATTTTTATTATTAGCTATATTTAATTTAGCTATATCATGTCTAAACTGCAAAATTCAATAACAAAAAATTCATCCAAAAGCTATTCTTCATTGCAAACTAAGAAAAGGAGGAAAACGGGATTGTTGTATTTAAATGGAGAGATAGAGTGGAACATGAGAATCCACAAAATACGTTCCTATCATATTACCAAGTACAAAAAACATTCATAACATTCGTGCTGTTTCTATAAGCCAACAGTCATCCGCAAAATTGAAATTGTTCTTGAATACAATAAAGGAAAGTGTGGTATAGATTATTCAGACAAAATGTTTTTTTATGCTTTCATTACAATTAAGAATTAAATAGTATCGAAAATTTGGAATTCAACTTCTTCTGGAAATTTCAGTTGTAAATACTTTTTGGTTTATAAAATTGCAATAAAGAAGAATGTAAATATTAGAAGATTTAAAAAATTATTAATTGCAAAATTATTAGGAAAATATAACAAAATATAACCTTGTTTTTAACGAAGTCAGCATAATATCGCAGCATAATTTGAAAAAATGATTCTGGAATAAACATTAGACGCGCATGCAAACTATATTATATTGAGATAAGAAAACATCAAACTCGTGAACTGAAAATCGAGCTAAACATAAACATCACGAGTGAGATTCCTTAACTGAAAATTAAGTCAAATGTAAACATCGCAAGTGAGACACGTGGAATGATTTTTTGTCAGTTAGAATTGTGATTTACTTCTTACGCCACGAGAAGATCACGATTCTTATAATCTATATTGCAAAACAAACGTGTTAGTGATGCTTTATTTTTTAAAGTAAGATTTAATAATTTTATTTTTTGAATAAATCTTTATAAAATGCAAGATATGTTTACATGGAAGCAATGATAACGAATTCAGTGATAACGACGTGTTTGTATCAATAAGAAAACGTCTAAAGCGTTTAATTATAGATGAGAATCGTTAAAAGGAAAATACTGTACTTTAATTTTTGAAGTAAAATTTAATAATTTTATTTTTTTAATAAATCCTGAAAATACAAGATACGAAACGTTTACATGGAAGCAATGATAATGAATCCAGTGATAATGACGTGTTTGTAATAATAATTCATAATAAGAAAATGTTTAATTATAGATGAGATTAGTGAAGAGGCAGAAAGTGAA